AGTTTCTTGAATATTTCCTCGAGGCAGGCTGTAAACAGTTTTGGTGAGATGGTGCCGCCCTGTCTAACGCCTTTTTTAATTGGTATTTTATCGGTTTCCGTGTGGAGTTTGATGGTTGCTGTCGCATCTTTGTATATATCTTCCAATATTTTACAATATACTTCCTCCACTCCCTGTTGTTGAAAAGCACCTAATACTGCTGGTATTTGTACAGAGTCAAATGCCTTTTCATAATCGATGAATGCCATACACAGGGGTTTCCTATATTCGTTTACTTTTTCTCTTATTTGGGTGAGCGTGCGGATGTGATCTGTTGTAAATAATCCGCTGCGGAAGCCTGCCTGTTCTCTAGGCTGGCTAGAATCCAGACTGTCAGAGGTGCGAGCTGTAATGACTTTCGTGAACAGTTTGTAAGTAACAGAAAGGAGGCTTATGGGTCGGTAATTTTTTTTAAATCCTTTTTGTCGCCTTTTTTGTGTAACAAGATAATTGTTACATTTTTCTAGGCTTTCGGAGTTTTTCCGCTGAGAAGACATTTGTTAAAAAGATTGGCTAGTTTCACTTTTGCGATTTCCCCTGCATCTAATATAAGGTCTCTACTAATTCCGTCTTCGCCTGGTGTTTTCCCTTTCTTCGTGCCTTTAAGTGCTCTTTTTATTTCTTCTTTTGTGATATTAGGTACGTCTCTAATTACCACGTTTGCTTCTATTTGTGGCTGTTCGTTTGAGTTGTATAGATCCCTGTAAAAGTCTTCCACTATTTTGAAGATTTCATTCTTGTTATATGTTACTTCTCCGTCTGGTTTCTTAATTGCATACACTTGATTTCTCCTTCTTCCTAGTCTTCTTTCAGCTGCTTTCATCCTGGTACCTGAAATCACTGCTTCATTTATTATTTGAGTATTGAATTTCCGTACATCTTCCCTCTTCTTTTTATTTATGGTCTTTGTTAGTTCAACTAATTTTATCTTGTCCCTTGTACCTTTTTGCATAAGCTGTTTAGTTTCTACCGAGAGCTTGCTGGAGCTTTGCTTGTTCGTCTTGCCGCCTACTTCGAGAGCAGCTTCCTTTACTATGTCATTGAACTGTTTATTAAGTTGGTCCATGTTGTGATCTTCGTCGCGGAGAAGGGAATATCTGTTTTGGATGTTTAGGCTAAATTCTGTTGCTCTGATCCTCAAGTTAGCTAAGTTTGGCTGTGGTTTACGTAATAGTTTGTTCCTTTCCCTTCTGAGGTGTATTTTAATTTCGCCTCTCACCATTCTATGGTCGCTGCCAACATTTACTTTATTGATAACTTCTACATTTTTTATTATATCGCGCCTATTTGATATTATGGTCAATTTCGTTTTTGACGTCAGAAGGCGACTTCCATGTCCACTTCCGTTCTAGTCTTTTTTCGAAGAATGTATTCATGATATTGAGTGATCGAGCCTCCTCAAAGTCGACTAGCATTTGTCCCTTCTCGTTCCTAGTGCCTATTCCATGGTTCTCTACTGCGGTCTCTCCCTCCGTCTTTTTACCTATTTTGGCATTTAAATCTCCCATAATTATTGTGAAATGTGTTTTTATTCTCTCGCTGGCTAAATGAACATCTTCATAGAAGCTCTCTATTTCTTCATCACTGTGGCTGCATGTTGGAGCATAGACGAATAATTTTTAAGTTGTACCTATTGTTTAGTTTTATTGTTACAGAAGCCACTCTTTCGCTTACACTATAGAATTCTACGATGTTCTTTTCTAAGCGTTTGTGTATTAAGAACCCTACCCCTAATTCCTATTTGCTACCCTGAGGTTTTCCTCTCCAATAGAGCACGTGTCCATCATTTATTAACTTTTGCTCTTCGCCTAGTCTTCTAACTTCGCAGAGTCCTACTACATCCCAGTTAATGGAAGAGAGTTCCTCTAGTAAAGCTAGTAAGTC